ACATAATAACACATATATATAACACATATATATATATATACATATAACATATACACATATATATAATCATATACATAATCATACATTATTAGTTATTGCCAATCAGTTATATAATACACACATGTGTTTGATACATGTTGGCACACATGTAACATACACATATATGGTATAAGTGTTGAGAGTATATATATATAATATAGTGATATAATATAATATATATATAATTAATATAGATTGCATCATACATTTAAATCAAGGTTGTTATAATAATATATATATATATATATTGATTATATAATCATAACCATGTCACAAGTATTAAATATTGACATCATAAAACAATAACAAACAAGAATAACCATAGTATAACATAATACATATACAACATAATAATCACATGATATACATATTTATGATATATCATAATAATATACAAGGAATACATGTATATAGATATAAGATAAGATATAATCATAGAATCATAATAGTTAGTTATTATTTGATATAACCTAAATATCAATATAAGACCACAATGATGAATAAATAATCAGCAATAAATAAGATTTGCTATTGACATATACATCATATGATATGATAGATACACCATATACATATGGTGGCCTTTTGTATATATAATGTTCAGCACAAGATATATATATAAAACTGTATATATGATAACCTATATATATATATAAGATATATATATTACACACACATAGATTATAAGGAGAATATTATATATATATATAGCACACATTATTGATGTTAATGTAGCGCGCATATGCGTCATATATATGTTGGTATATAAATATATATGGGTATATATCAGGGCATATGGCGGCAGCAATATATATATAAGTATTATGCGGCGGCGGCAGAAATATATATATATATATATATTATAAGGTTGGCGGCGGCAATATATATGGCGGCAGCGGCGAATACAGCAGCATATGGCTTGGTGATGCTGGCTGGCAGGCGTGCTGCAGTGCGTGCGCGTGCGGCGGCGATATATGTTTGTACCACAGATAACTGTTCGCAAAAAGCCAGGTTATTTAGCGTCCATTATCAGTTTAATAAAAACTTATTTTGAAAGCCAAAAACAAACCGTGCTCTAATGCCAATTCCAGATAAGCCGCGTCTCTATGTGAGCACAAATTTGTAGGTGTAATACCTTGGTGTGTGAAATAATTACTAAAGACACCGACGCCAACCATCTGACTGAATTTCTCCAAATGTCCATCTTTATCTTCCCACCAAAATTAATGACTATTCAGTGTACATTACACAAAGCTTGATTCCAGAAAAAAAAGCCTTTAATAACATGTATAAAACTAAAGAGAATATATGTAGATAATAGAGCAAGGAAAATGCACTTTCTAACTGGAGTCATCGGCCTTTTAGGTGGTCCACCAGGCTATTGGCTGAACCAGATCAGTGTGCCAGCACTAAAAGCTTACAGTTTACACTAATATGTCTTCATTCACATAAGGCTAAGATGACCAATGGAAAAAAAAGTAAATGTAACTCCTCAGTGCTGGCACGGACCCTTTGTAATAACACCCATAAACTCCAAGAGCAAACGAGGAAATAAAGAGGGATTTCTGGTGACCTTGTCAGAATCAAAATATGATTATTCCCCAGATCTAGGAGCTTCAATATCACCTCCCATCTCTTAATCTCAGACAGTTAACAAAGAAAAT